GAATGCCAGCAAATGTACTAGAAACTACTTTTCCATTCATTGCTGCTATAGTTTCAGCTACAAAACTATCTTCGTCGCTGAAGCCAATTACAACAAATGTCAGGCCTGTATGCATTTTAATACATTATTTTATTTTATTCATGTTATTTTATATTGTTATTCATATTGTTTTATGTGAATATTTATATGCATATATGAATAACAATTACATTACCTTCAAATAATCTATCATTTAAAGTAGAAGTTTGACTAAATGGTACTGCACTATCATCTGCTGAATATTTATTTTGTTCTGTTGAAGATGCTATAGATTCTTTTAAATATTTTCCTTGGTTTTTTTGATTATCAATCAAAGTCATATCATTATTTTCTCGCAATACAGTATGTGGTTTTAAAAATTCTTGCATTGTTTTATTATTTGTTTCAACTAAAGCAAAAAATATTGTATATTATATTACATTTTTTTTTTACAATTATACATTTAATTTTTTTTATAAATAATATAAGCAATTATTTGATAACATTACCAACTGTATCTTGAAGATATTGTTGAAGAAGATCAGATGATTCTTTTTCTTTTTCTAACATAACCAGTTTTTTATCTATATCAAAAGACGGTATGGATACTTTTTTTGGTTTTTGTAGCATTTGTAAGTTCTAAAAAAAACATGAATTTCTTAGATGTTTATATTATAATATATATTTTTTATATTTTCTATATTTACCTTTTTACTTAAAGGAGATGGAGGTTCAGTAATTTTCTGAATTGCAATATTTCTTTCTCCACATAGAAAATTTTCTTCAGGTGCAGGTCGTTTAAGTTTAATACTTTCTTCTAGCCATTCCAGTGTTAATATATATGGACTATACATAATATTTATAATATTAAATTATATTATATGTATAAAGCCTAAATATATATATATATATTTATTTATTTTAGTATTATACCATAATCCTTTTGAAGCCATTAATTTTAATTCATTTGCTGCTTTATTTTCATCTCCAACAATGACATGTGTTAGAGCATCAGATATATCATCAAGGCGTGTTGCACTACCTACATTTAATATTTTGTTAAGTTTATCTCTTTGGTTAGAAGAGAATCCAGTAAGATAAATCTAAAAAATGAAAAAAAATTGAATAAAAAAATATTATAGAATTATAAAATAAGAAATATAATATAATAAAATAATAATATAATATAAATTACATTGCAGCCATCTAAAAATGGACCAGCCGATTTTGCTTCATTAAATGTAAGTCTATCCAAAACTGCAAATGTAGAAGCTGAAAAATTTCAATAGATATAAAATAGAATTTATTTTATTATAATACAATATATATATATATATAATATTACTAACCAGAAGAAACATTATTATATAAATTGTCTAAAGAAGAAACATTGCTCATTGTTGTTATTGAACTTTCATCAACATAATTGCCTTGCTGTACATCACATGTTATGGAACTTATTGCAGAACAATTAAGACTTTCATATACTGTGATTATTATAAAAAATTACATTAGTTATTGAAACTAATATAAATTTATAATAATAACAAAATGCTTTTACCATTTGATTTTTCTGGAGTAGAACATGCTTTTAATGACTTAATTAAATAATCTTTGAAAGGTAAAGCATAGCCAACTTTAATACTTTTATAAACCCAATCTGGTATTAAACAAGCAATATTTGCTTGTTTTGCATATTTGAGCTTTTCACTCATCGGACTATTTTCTGGAGCAAGTACAACTTTAACTTTTGCACCATCCAAAGGACCCATAAATGTCTACAAAAAAAGTATAGATAATATAAGAGAGTATAAAGAAACAGTTAAAAAATTATTAAAAAATAATAAAAATTGAATTCATACTCCTCCATTATCATTAATTAAATGTCTTATTTCTTCCTTTTGGCGTTTTGGAAGATTTGTTGAAGTAACAACTAAATTAAGAAATACAGAAGCTTTATATTTATTAAATATATTATTATCTGCTTTAACAAAATTGTTTAAATTTGTTTCCCAAATAGCTTCAACCCATTCTTTTGTAACAATTGGTATTTTCATATCTATTGCAGTCTATTAGAAAAAATTAAATATTAAAAATTTATTCAAATAATTTTATGTGAATTTATATATTTACCTCATATTTAGCAGACATAACAGATGCTGTTATAAGATGTGTTACACAACTACGTAATTGTTTTGTAAAAATTCCTCCCATATATTCTACTAATTTTTCTATATGTTCCTGTAATTTATAGATTTTTAAATATTTTAAATTTTATTGTTTACAAAAAAGGATATTTATTAATGAATATACTTTTTCTTCTGGAGATAAACCAGAAGCACATATGCAAAGACCTCTCATAGCTGTAGTATAGACTGGACTTTTTCCTTCTGGAATTGGTTCTCCATTAAGAAAACAAACTAATAAACATTTTGGACCAACTATGCTATAAAAATAAAGTAATGTTTAATATAATATTATTTTCTCTGTTTAAATCAATAATAATAAATTATATTTTGATATTAAAGTTTTACTTACGAACATTTAAATGTTTTTAATTTATGAAATATATCACCTTCAAACTTTTCCATTATGAAAACATCATTTTTAACAGGTTTCATTTTATTACATTTCGTTTCATTGATCCACATTGGTTGTAAATCATGTTCACAACATTTCTAAAAAATTAATTCATTATTTTGTTTATTGTTATTTAGCAAAAAAAAAAAAAATAATATATTTATATATACATATATATAAATATATTTACTAACATTGTATGCATGCCACATATCTTCATTACAATCATTTTCAGAATTATATTCATTTGATACAATAAAATAAATATTTACATCTGTATCAATTTGGCTTTCTAAACTTATCATTTTTAAATTTTAAAAAGTACTTTTTTCGTTATAATTTTAAACAAATATTATTTGATTTATATAGATATTCAATTAAAAACTGAAATATTTATTACATAATAATATTTAAATATTATAGAATATTATAATAAAAACTATTATATAAACAAAATTATTTACTGATTAAAAAAAAAATAATTACATACATTCTGTTAAGTATTAAGAAAATATATTATTTGTTATAATTTAATATAATCAAACGATTTTTCATTCTTTCAAATGACATTACAATTACTTGAACAGTATAAGGATAGGTTAGATTTTTTTTCATTAATAAATATTAAAAAATGAATAATTTTGAAACAATATTATTTTATACTTGATAAAATGATTTTTAATACATTTAAATAGTATTTTAATTAATTTTTTAAAAAAACAAAATTTTAAATTCTAAAATTTTTAAGAGACTTATCCTACGTCCAAGATCTTCTCGCGCCTAATTTGACTACACTAGTCAATTTTAATATTATTTTTACAATCAAATTAAACTAGAAAAAAATTTTTAATTAACATTAATAAATATTAAGTGATAATAATTGTATAACATATGTTATATTGTATGTATATTTTACATTAATCAATTAATAAAATGATATTTTCATAATTTTTTTATAATATTTTTAAATGAAGAATATGAAATTCATTATTATTGTATATCAAATAAATTCATTGTAAACTGTATAAATTATTATTATATGAATTACTAAATAAAATAATTTATTCTACTGAAGTATCAATTATTTATTTAAATATAATTTAATTTTTTATTATTATTGTTGTTATTTTGATGTTATACATGAATTTTGAATTTCAAATATTTTATTCCCGCTTCTAGTTATCCAATTGATTAGTATAATCTTTTATTTTTTATTTATAGAGAACAAATAGTAAAAGAAGGATAGAAATAGGATAAAATATGGGAATCAGCGCCATCTCCAGAGTGCCGCAAATAAAATTAACATAGACGAAAAAAGCGAATACTAAGAAAGAATAGAGATAGAATAAAAATTGATCATCAGCGCCATCTCTTAAGTATTAAAGATATCTCTTCAAAAGAAAGATAAAGTAGAGTTAAAAGAATCGAGATTCAGCGCCATCTCTTGATTATTAAAAATATCTCTTCAAAGAAAATATAAAGTATACATAAAGTAAAATTAAAAGAATTGAGAATCAATGCTATCTTTTAAATATCAAAAACATTTTTCGAGGAATTTCTTATTAAAATGTTAAGAAAATCCTAACGCTTTCAGCATTAGATAAAAAAAATGCATTGAATGTTAGATTTATTTTATGTAATAATCTCATTTATGATACAGAATTTAAGATATTTCCCAACATGGAATATAAAATGTTATGATATAATATTTATCTTATATTTTATCTGTTATATCATATGCAAAATTATCAATTCAAAATAAAATGAGATAACAATTTAGATAATAATACTAGAATTATAATTAAATATAATGATAATTATAATTATTTTAGTTTTTTTTTTAAATTATTCAAATTTACATATCATTTTTTCTCATTAAAATTTCCTGTGATTGATAAAGGGAAAGAAATAATACTAAGTTTTATAATATTAAAATAATTTAATTGTATATTTCGATAGACAATAACGTGGTTGACACAAATGACATAATGTCACATCGAAGTTGTTACATTTGTATCAAATACCGGTTGATACAATAATCGAGAACAGTATTCGGTCCATTTGTAATCATAGTAGATTTTGCAGCAACATTCGCTATACGCATAGTTATAGGTAATCAATAATAAAATCATAAATTGAAAGAAAAATTTGTTTGATTTTGTTTGCTGTTAATCCGGTATATATTTTCCACGCTTCATTGGCATATAAATATAATTTTCTCATATGTAGACGATTTACAACACATAATGATATAATATTAATATGATAAAATTAATATAATGAAAAGAAAAATATGAAATGTGCATTAGTTTCATATTTACTATAATTTGAATTTTATTAATTGTATAAATATAGAAAAAAAGGTTAGAAAAACAGTAAGAACGAAACTTAAAGATTTTCTCTTTTAGATTTGTATTAACGCACATGTTTCAAAATAAGTATTACACGTAGAAACATATTTTTTTTTCTTATGTAGAATGTCATAAAAATTATTTTGCATTACAATATAAAATATAGTACATAGATTTTTATTCGCATCAATTCAATACTTTCGCTCCACGACATTCAACACGACATTCACATTATACACTTTTTATATTATAACTCCATAGCCTAGATTCTTATCACTGGCCATCGGATAAAATTATGCAAAAAGTGCCTCAACACAACGTACTCGGTAAAATTTACATCAGTTTCGATAATAAAAAAGAAACGAACAAAAACCAAAGCAATTAAAAAATAGCATGGCGTTTCGCTTTTGCACTTTGTTGCATTTTTGTTGCACTTTTAACACTTTGCTTGATTCAGCGGATAATCGTTCAACTGTGAAATCGTACAGGTTCCATAGAACCGAATCACGCAAAGTGAGCAAAGTTATTACATTCACGGTTCGAGTGGAAGTTAAACATTTACCGGTTAACACATACAAAGAGGGCAACTATGTCCGCAGCATAATAAAAAAAAAAAAATTAGCACAGTAATCCACAATTCCGTGTCTGTGAGCCGACGTAATCGAACGTGTACGCATAATTAATCGAGAATTAATCTTAATCTAGTCGGATCTCTTTTGTTCGTCAAGTTACAATTCGCTATTTTCGAATTCCCTCGACAATAAGCGTTTGAGTGCGACTCTGACTTCGAATGAAAGAAACTTTTTTGACGCTCTTTCATTATGATTTTCATTACAAATTGTCTCTTTCAAAATTGTCGTTAGACATTACAGAAATTGTACAGATTCAAGATTTGCGTGCCTAAGGGAAAGATATATCCGAGGTCACGCGTTTGGGGCGTTGGTGGCCTCGTCCTCTTTGCTTAGCTCAATCAGTTTCTCCAAAGAGAATTGGCGCGCCCTGGCTGCCCATACTTCGCCATTCGCCAATACTCTGAAAGAAAGAGAGTTTAATCGATTGCATATGATAAACATCATCGTTTTCAGATATATTTCAGATATATATATATATATATTGGATATGAAAATTTATTTCTACAGATGGTATAATTAAAGATCGGTCGGTTACATACCGTCTAGTATTTTCGCTAACCAGTCTATCCGGCGCTCCATACACCGGTGGATTAGCATAAGGATCATAGCCGAGCACAGAAAGCATCGGCGCGATGTCAGGCATCTCTCTAACCACGTCATCCGGAATGTGGCCTACCCATTTGGTTAATGCCTCCAGGTTGACCGGCTTTATAATTTGATCCGACGATCTTTCCACCCTGCATACCAAAAATAGGACAGATTTTAGTTTTCCATAGACCTCATTCCTTTCATATTGCAATCTTGTTTCCTATTCCTTCATAGCTTCTTTATTAATTTTACATCGAAGAAAAATAAAGTTTTCATTTACTTGCTCAGCGGAACGCCGCCTGGCTTGTTGATAAATTCCTCGTGATGCATCACAGATTCGTTCCAAGGGACATCGAGGAAGTTTAGAATCTTCTTCATCCATTGACGTGGATGTAGCACCAATTGCTCGTACGGGACCATTAGACACTTGTCCGACCCGATTTCTTTACACTGGCCATACATTATAGATATCGCGTGATTCCATTTGATCAACGACTGTCGATACGAGGATAGATCGAAACCCGTTATGGTCACCTGAAAATTATTAATGTAAATTTATCTTTCACACTCGTGATTACGTACCTATTGAAATGTAACACGCGCCAATATGAAATTATAAAGCAATTATTCTTGATCTTTGACTCTGCGTATAAAATCTTTTCAAAATTACGTGTTCGTTTTTTTTTTTTTTTCTTCTTTTTGCACGATTTTTACACGCTACCGTCCCATTTCGTTTCGTCCCCCGTCCTGTTTTGCATAAGAGAAATACGTAAATTCCCGTTCGTTCGTTTTCTTCTCATTTTTTCGTCGTTCGCTCACTCTGACGAGTACGTCGCATTTTAATATTCGTGAATGAAGAGGGATAAATTTGCATACATCGGCCGGAATGGCCGGTAGGTCGAAGATTTCGATCATACCTTTCTCGAGATAATGGAATGCACGGTGGCACGGCCGTCGCGGATCATGAAGATAAACTTGGCATTTGGAAAGAGATCGAGAATGTAGGATCCCATCTTCAGGGTGAGGGGATCCTTGTTGCATAACCGTGGCGCTGGTTCCGCGTGTCGCGCTATTATCTCCAAGCAGAACGCCGCTATAGCACTGTCCATTACCTGAAATTTGTTTGTCGATAATTTTGATTACTCTTATCGTTCATGTTCTTTCGAGTAGATCACATTCTCTCTGAATTTCAAGATTTTTTTCAAGATTAATAATTGCGATTCGGAGAAGGCATCGAATTAACTTATTTAAAAAAATTTCTCGTATTTTTCAAATCTGATCAAATCTCCAAGTGAAGTAAATCGTTGAAAAAAAAAATATATATATATTTGTCTTGATTTTAATTTGAGCATTATACTTCAACTTTTAAATTCTATTTTTATTATATTTTTCGTAAATTAAAAATTATAGATCGTTGATCACGCTTTCGTATATTGAGATTTGTCGACTCACTTCTTTCGAAATTCCCGCTTCCGAAAGACGCAGGTTCTCCCTCTCGGACTTGAGCCAATGCATCCTCATCTGCAGAATCCTCGGTATCACCCGTGTCTCCTGCCCGCATCTACCGCGAAAAAGAATCGTTTGACCATCAAGAGACAAGAGTTGGAAGTGAATGAGCGGCCGGTAATTGGCAATTTATCCAACAGATGGAACTCACCTGACATCGGGATGTGCGTCTAGCATGGCGCGTACAAGAGTGGTTCCCGATCGTGGCACGCCACCGATGAAAATTAGCGGCATGTAACGATCGTACGTGTATCGTTTGTGATCGAACGGGCCCACCACGTATTTCTGCAAAAATGTAGTCGATATTTCGTTAATCATTTCTCTCTTTAATAATTTTCTTCGTTCGTTATTTAAATATTTGAACATGCGAAATTAAACGAATGTTTTTATTTCGTGATTAATTTTTAATACCGAATGAATGGTGAACACCGTATCATCGATCGTTTGTATTAATCTATGTAATAAAATCTGATCGATAGCCAAGGTGTTTCGGTTCAATTTTTCGAAGAATAAAGTTAACCGATCCGTGTTTAAAGATTTAATATTTTTAGAAAGCGTTGCTATAAATTCTGGTGTAATAATAATCACGGAGCACAGGAGATAATTTCTTCTTTAACGTCGGTTATTAACCGATGATCATCGTTATCGAGTTATCGGATGAAGGATCGAAAAGTTTCTGGCGATAGCGTCAACGTAGCGGCAAGTTGGTCGAACGATTCTTTCAAAATCGTGCTTGATTAAACCTCGGCAACGAAAAACTTTTTGCCGTTTTACAATATCGCCTAACGAACAAACTGGTACGATGTCTCGAACCCAGGGACAAGGATCGATACGCTTTGAATTTTGTGCAGAGGGATCAGCGTTTTCTTTTCCTTTTATGATCACGATCCTCCGTGTAAAAGTTTAAACGATCCTCCGTGCAATTATCAACTTTCGTTTATACTTTTCTCCGTCTTTTCCTCATTTACCTCTTTTTTTTCTCGATTTTTCTTTTCCTTTTCTCTTAGATTTATATCTAAGAATTAAGGACGAGACAGTTATAATTTTTATCACGTTCAATGCGGTAAACGATCGCGCCATGGACTTTATTTTTTATGAAATGGGCAATTTGTATACACACTCAACATGACATGTAAAATAGCCAAATTTTTAGATTTCGTTCTTTTTACAATTGTTCTTTAATATTTATCAAAAATTAATAATATCCGAGAATTGGAGAAAATTTATTCGATACATGTTTTTCATTCACATATTTTCACGCGTGCAACTTTTCACGAGACGAGATGGGAAAGCAAACAAATGGGAAAAATAATAATTTCTCGCGGAGTAACTCAATTACATGACAACGATTATACGTCAAATCATCATAATAATTATACGTTAAAGCGCGTGTTTGCGTTACATTTAAATATCGTCGATCAAAGATACGCAGTTTATCAAAATGTTTTCATAAGCTATATAAATTTCTGTGGAGTGGGATAACCATATTAATGAGTCTCGATAAATTTCACGATAGCCTCTTTTGTCGAATGGCGAAATTAACAGCCGTTTTGAATGGTTTAATTAACCGCAATCAATGCGAAGTAGGATAATATCCGAAACTAGTTGGGACTCGATTAAGCAAACATTACATCAAGAACTTTATCGTTTGACGTTGATGCATTTTGCATGATTATTAATAAATGTTGACCAATACCCTTCATTAATACGGTGCACAAATCCAAATTTAATTATTATCTGTAATTTCGTAACTCCATCTGTGTGCCCATCGATTTTCATCGTAACTCGCTCTTTCTATAATCGATATATAATTAATGGAATAACCAGAAGATTATAACTAAAGATACGAGAAATAGCGAAATCCTATCCGTTGTTTTAATTATAAACGTAGAATTATTTTCAAAATTTTCAAAACACACATTTTTCATCAAAAGATTTCATAATTTTTCATTCATAAAAGTCATGTTTCTTTCTTTCTTTATGAAAAGTCATTATTGTTTTATTTAATAAATTGGGCATTTGATAAGATCAAACGTGGCACGAAATGTACACGTTACACGCGAATTAAAACGTATCACAACATGATATTTTGGATATTATTGTTCGATAACCAGGTTTGGAATCAGATTTATGAATCCATCAATCATTTTCGCCCGTGAAATCATCGTTCTGCCCGTAACCAAATACATGGCCGTAATAAATTCAATAAAATCAATGTGGCAATAAATCAATTTTCGAGTGACATATTTTAAAACACGCTCCCCAATCCTATAAATACAATTTTTAAAATTGATATTTTCCACCCATCCTCCATATAAATGAGT